TTGGAGGTTCCATCATGTAGGCACAATCATTCCCCACAGGTTGGGGTGGATGGTTGGGGTGAGTGTTTCAAACTTCTAATCAAGGTTTGGTCTTTCTGGTAACCAGTCCCCATCCTGAAGCTACATAGAGGTCTTCCAATAGTCACATTATTAGAAAAGATTCTCCTGTCATGCATGAAATCTCAAGGGATTTAGGAGCATTATGTCAGGGATTAGAAGGGAAAGACAATATATAATGAAAGATGCTCCTTTCACCTCAATCACTCAGGAAATTATAAGAGTTTTAAGAACTCTGCCAGGAATCAGAGAAAAAAAAGAAATATCTTATTATGTCAGAATTGTAAAAATGTAGAAAGATAAGCTCAGTGTGGTGGTGCATGCCTGTAATCCCAGTGATTTGGGAGGCTGAGGCAGAAGAATTACAAGTTTGAGGCCAACTTGAATGCCTTAGCCAGATCCTGTCTGAAAATAAAATAAATCACTGGAGGATGTAGCTAGAGTGCTTGCCTAGCATGGGCAAGGTCCTGTGTTCACTTCCCAGTACTACCAAAAAAGAAAAGAATGATGAAATGATAGATTTGAGCATTGAGAAGTATGACTCACAGGACTTATTATTTACCTGGCTATGGGGATTAGAAGAGAAGTTCAGAATGTCTATCGGGCTTTTGGTCAAAAGAACTGAGTAGATAATATTGCTACCTAGTACTAAGTTAAAAAGCAAATTTCTGTTTGGGATGATAAACTTAAGTTGAGGTTGAATTTGACTTGCAAGTGAAGATATCCATGACAGTAGAATTTATGGGTCTAGAAATCAATGGAGAGATCAGAAATGGCAATATAGATTTGGGAACTGTCAATAGGAAACTTTGGAAAGGCGTAAGATTTTTTAGATGGAAAGTATGGAATAAGCAAAAAACAATTCTAAATAGATCTTTGGTGGATACTCAACTGTGAATGATAGGAACACACAGCCTACAAAGTAGTTGGAGGCACCATTATGGAAGTAGAAAAGAATGCAGAAGAACATGGTCTCAAGAAAGGCAAAGAAGGGAGTGCTCTCAGGAGAATCCAACAGTACCAAGTCCTATGTGGAAAGGATAAGCTTGACAAGGATGAAAGTGCTCACTGAACTGAGGAACTAGGTGAGAATAATTTTAGTGAAGGAGCAAAAACCATGGCTACATTGCAGTGTACAGCAAAGAAACACTGAGTGCAGATAGCTATTGGAAAAGCTGATTTCAGTAAAAAAAGAGAGCACAGTGACAAGAGGGGACATGGTATTAGGAGGAGTTTCTGTTAATATAAGAGAGATTTGTACATGTTTGAGTAACAATTTTGAGCATCTACTAAAGTGTAGAAGGCCTGGGGAATTCCAGATAGGGGACTCCATTCTTAGGCACTGAGGGAACATTTTAAACAGAATGTCCTCCTATGAGAAGGTTGGTCTTCCAGCTGGTACTGCTGATTTCAGGGGACTTCGTACCTAAAGAAACTTACCCTAGCTACATGCAATGGTACAGACCTATAACCCCAGGATTTGGAAGGCTGAGCCAGCAGGACTGGAAGTTCAAACCCAGCCTGCACAATTAAGCAAGATCCTGTCTCAAAATAAATTTAAAAGCATCTGGGAATGTAGCTCAATCTAAAGGCCCAGGGTCAATTCCTAGTGCAAAGACAAATAATAATAATTATAATAATAATAATATGAAGTGTGTATTTAGTTTGGGTTTCTAGGTGACAGTCTCAGCAGAACCTTTCATGTGTCATGGCAGTCTTTATGGCATCAATTCAAACTTGTTTTTCTACAAGGACAAACATTAAGCTTTTAGTATACAATTGTTCCACCCTTAATACTACAACTGGATAGATTCAAAAGGGCCTGATAATTGATAAAGGGTAGCCAATTCTATAGTTTCTAGGATCCTTAAAACAACTCTTTTGCCCCAATCTATCAAACTACACCATAAATAGAAGCAAAGGAATAAAAAAAAAATCCTATTTGGGTACAAAATTAATGTGTTATATGGCTGTGGGAGGGTGGAAAGGATGATGAATTTAAATGAAAGCACTCCAATTATATATTTATAGCAAAAGTAAAGCTCAAAGTTGCTTTTCAAGCAAGATTTAATACAATAAATTTAGACCCAAGTGGGAAGGTTGGTGAGCTTCAATATCTCTGACCTTGTTCATAAATCACAATATTGATCACATACAAATGAATGCATAAATGTATATATTTGTGTTTGGGAACAAGTGGAAGCTCATTTATTATGTGAAAATGAAATAGAAAGCAATTTTTATAATATCAATACCTAAATTAAACTATTTAGCATTTTTAAACAATCTTCGTTAAATGAATCTGATCTCTGTATAGTTATCTATATGAATCTACACCTTCCCCCCTCAATGGACTGTCACTTCTATAGCTGTTGCTTTGGGCCCCTGGGAAAAGAATTTAAGACTAAAGAGTCAGCATCAAATGACAACTTGTGGAAGAAGGGATGCCAAGAATTTCAGTTTTTAATTTTCTACATATTTCTTTCTAATGGCTAATAAGACCTAGGAGAGGCTACTGCATGTTGTATTTGACTTTCTCCCTTGATTAGTTTTAGAAATACTATCTTTCAATAATGATTATCCTTTAAACTGAACTATCAGACAGTAAGCATGTTTGTATGTTCTATTAGTAAATATCTAGTTAAATCATTCACCGGTACATTTAAAAAGATTCTGTTTATTAACACACAGTGAAGTACTGCTTTGGCGTATATTTCAAAAAGGGTGTACATGTAGTAAATCAGTGAAGATCATGCTTCTCTGAAAAGATTACACTTCACTGCTGGGTTAATAGTGAGACTTCTGTGTAAACTCAAAACCTAGAACAGTGTTCTCACACTGACCAAGCTTCAAAGCAAACTGTATGCCTTTTGAAAAACATGTCCAGGCTTCCCACTCCAGATGTATTAAACCCAAATATTCAGAGTGTGCCCTTCCCCAATCTGAATTTACTTACTCCCCAATCTGAATTTATTTTTAAGTTTCTCTCCAGAGCTTACCTACAGATAAATTGTTAGGAAAAGCAACACACAGGATTATATGAGGGCTAGGAAAACCTTGGAGTAACAGGAAAGATTATTGTTAGCTAAGGGCTTTTGAGTAGAGGTGTGGGTAAAGAAAGATTGTGTAAATGGCCTCATGGGCATAATACAGTATACAGAAATCCAAGTCATAGTTCAGCCTTGTCTTGTACCTCTTTGTAACATCTAGAAAAAAAAATTTAAAATAGGTGCTCAAAGTTGACTCATAAGAAAGTTTCACACAACAAGATAGTGAATAAATCTAATATAGAAAGGGCCTCAAGCTATAATTTAAAAATCAAGAGATCTGACAGCTGCTACTAGCTACCCTGTACTTGAAATGTGGCTAGAGTGCAGCAAACTGAATCAATCTAAGTGTAAAATACACTCTGGTTTCAAAGACTTTGTGTGAAAAAAAACCTGTAAAAATCATAATAATTTAATATCGCTTACAGGTTAGTATTTTGGATATATTTATGTGTGTGTGTGTACATAAACTATTTCTACTTTAAGGGGGTCCCCAAGAAACTTCATTACATTGTTGCCCGCCTGCTATCTCCCTAGCGCCTGGGTAGAGATGAAGACTAACCTGGAAAGACTATCTGGTACTATAGGGAGGGGTAGGGCAGCCTAAGATAGAGAAAAGTAATAAAATGTTTTTAACTCATTTAAAAATAATCGCTAGAGGGCCGGGGATTTAGCTCAGTGGTTCCGCAGCCTGCCTCCAAAGCACAAGAACCCAGGTTCGATCCCTGGCACCAAAAAAAAAAAAAAAAAAAAAATCGCTAGAAAATATAGCCAGGTGTGAGCTCGCCCGGGGAATACTCTGGGAAGGCCGTCTGGGAGGAGGAAACACTGAATAAATTTCCCTTAAAAACCCCCGGAGAATCGAAGTTCGGTACTTCCACGCCCCTGATGTAACAGACCAGCCCCGCCAGGGAAGCTCAGCCAGCTGGGCGTGCGAGGGCCCAGCCCCAAAGGGGAGGAGCGTCCCCAGATAAGGGCACGGAACGCTCGGGAGCCACGCGGCTCCGGAAACCACCCCCGCGCGGGGATAGGCTGACGCTCGCCGGCTCCTCCTTCCATGACTCTTTTTAGACCCTCTTTCCGAACGGGACTGTTTTTTCCTCAACCCGGGGAACAACGCCCCGCTGGGCCCGCGCCTGCGGCACCTTCCAAGACTGCTCGCACGGCACCGCCCCTGAAAGGCCCGACCCAGGTGGGCTAGAGACGTACGGGGCGGTGAAAGCGAAAAACCCAGGTGTGCACCTAGCGAAAACCCCGCTGGGCCCTCATATTTAGGCTCCCCTACGGCGCCTTCGTCCCCGCCTCCTTTTCTCCGCCCCCACGGCATACGTCACAAAGAGTGACGTGTAAAGCAAACAATCACAGTCCCGCTCCTCACTCGTGAGCCCCTAGGGAAGGGAAGGGCGGGTTGACGACGGAAGGAGCCGGCTTCGGGGACCAGCTCGTTCCGGTCACCCAATCAGAACGCTCTGGGGAGGGGTGGGGTGGGGCCCGTGAAGAGGGTGGGGGGTGGGGCTAGGGAAAGCTGGGAGAAGGCTACCGGAGGAGAGGGCGGCCTCCCGGAGATTAAAGGCAGCCAATCGGAGAGCGCTGACTGCCTTCGGAGAGCAGCGTGGGGCGTCGCCGCCGCCGCCGCGCGCGCCGGGGGCTGGTTAAGGCCATGAAACAAAAGAAACCCTGAGAGGGGAGCCGCTGCCACCTCCACCAGCCCGCCCCGCCGCCGTCCCCACCCACCCAACCACCTAGTCACCTACCTCTGCCTCCTTCCCCTGCCCCTCCACCCCGCCCTCTCCGCTCTCCGGCGGCCCTGGCGCTCCTCCGCGCGAGTCGCGGGCCCCGCCGCCTCCCCACAGCAAGGGTTTTTGCGCGCTGAGCGGGGCCCGGGGCCGGTCCGCCATGGGGCCCGCC